GGCGCGTGTTAATTTTTAAGTACTATCCTATGCTAGAGATGAAACGCAAAATAGGTGCTAACAACACCAAGTAGGGGTCCTACCAATAGTACTATTTCCTCAGCCGTTCTTTAGACAACAAGAGCCTAATAATGAAGTTGATGTTAAATTTCGGATGTTTGCGAATGAAACTCTCAAAGTCCTTAATCACTATCGCGCGAAAAGATACAGCTCCAACCTCACTCCAGTGCAAAAACGTGGTATGCGAGAGGTACGAGAGCTGATAAGGTTGAAAACCATAAGACTTTCCGTTAGTGATAAGGGTGGAGAGTTTGTCGTAATTCCTCATCAGTAAGATATGGAGATAACGAAAAACCATCTTGAAGATGCTTCGCTTTATCGCCCATCATCTGAGGAGGAATTCAAAAGTAAATACCGAAAACTAAACCACGAATGGGCCAAAATGGCAAGGGCTGCTGGTTTGAAACCATCAGTTATCTCTCAACTTAAAGTTGCCTTACCAACATGCCCCGTCTTGTACTTACTTATAAAAACTCATAAGTTAGTATCCAGCGATGATCTTGCGTCTATCGATCCATCACTATTTAAGGTTAGACCTATCATTAGCTGTGTAGACGGGCCAACTGACAGGATAACATGGTTTTTAACCCTAATAATTAACCAGTTGTTGAAACACATTTCAGCCCATCTTACGAATACCCAGATGTTTCTGGATCGTCTACGTACTGCGCGGCCCAACAGCGCGTACGTGATGGAGTCCTTCGACGTTACCGCCCTTTATACAGACGTGTCGAATGACTCAGCAATGCAATTCATATGCGAACTCCTTGTACAACACGAAGGAGAAATAAACATGTATGGCTTCAAGATAGAGCAGCTGATGGCACTCTTAAAAGAATGCTTGAGCTGCTCAATCTTCAGATGGTCCTGACTCAAATAAGAGAGTTGGCAACGGAACAAAGACTCCCAAGACCGACTTTCTGTTAACCTCGGCATTAATTGATAATTCAATGTTTTTCTTCAATAAGCAGACACGAGGTTGTTAATATAGAATTTATTAGAACACAATTGCTGACGTTTCGGCGGTTTCGTCTTCTTCAGAGCCTGGAAAGGTCAAATTGAGGTGTGATCTACTCAGCCAAACACTTTCATAACCCCAGCAGGTAAGACTTGACAAATCGATTTGCATTCGCATAAGAAACAGCTTCATTCAAACACCTACCGTTTATTTGTTGTAAGTATTTAAGTTAGTTGGTGGATAGCCGCCGCACAGAGTAATACATGGTCGATAACTGGGTCCATGTCAGGTCATTGGATCAGCCCGAGGTATGGCGCTAGGCCACGCGTGATGACAAGTCACTCCTCCTTGCGGTTCATTTTTGAATTTTTGGCATTGATCCAAAACGCTTCAAGAGTTTTTCGCGCTGATGTTTTCGATTCCTGCGTAAGGATAGTGACTCCTACCTCAAAATCTTCTCCGTTGTGTTCTTGCATCCTATGCGCGCCTAGTGGAGTATTGTGTTTTAGTTTAGATTTACCGACTAGGTGTTCTTTTATGCGGACGCAGAGCGGTCTACCCGTTTCGCCAACATATTCGTGCCCGCACGCTTTACAAGAGATCAGATAGACTGTACCCGAACTCATGCAATCACCGTCTCTACCATTTGGGCAAATTATGCAGTTTTTCGTTATACATAGACGGTCATATAGGCGGTTGCGAACTAGCTGGCGTCTTAGAGTGTCCGATATTTCTATCACTCTTACGGAATTCTCTAGACCGGCCCTTATTAAGCAGCGTTTTATAGCTGCACTTATTTCGTTTGAAATAAAGGGCAACAGGAACGGAGCCTTGTTTTCGCTAGAATTATCGCTCTAGGGCGTGGGATTTCCTCGATGCCTATCCTGAGAAGCTACAGTTTCGTAACCATTTGAAATGGCTATTTGCCGCACCATTTTCGAGNCTCCGTTGTGTTCTTGCATCCTATGCGCGCCTAGTGGAGTATTGTGTTTTAGTTTAGATTTACCGACTAGGTGTTCTTTTATGCGGACGCAGAGCGGTCTACCCGTTTCGCCAACATATTCGTGCCCGCACGCTTTACAAGAGATCAGATAGACTGTACCCGAACTCATGCAATCACCGTCTCTACCATTTGGGCAAATTATGCAGTTTTTCGTTATACATAGACGGTCATATAGGCGGTTGCGAACTAGCTGGCGTCTTAGAGTGTCCGATATTTCTATCACTCTTACGGAATTCTCTAGACCGGCCCTTATTAAGCAGCGTTTTATAGCTGCACTTATTTCGTTTGAAATAAAGGGCAACAGGAACGGAGCCTTGTTTTCGCTAGAATTATCGCTCTAGGGCGTGGGATTTCCTCGATGCCTATCCTGAGAAGCTACAGTTTCGTAACCATTTGAAATGGCTATTTGCCGCACCATTTTCGAGGATTCTTCCCTCTGCTCTCTACCTGTGCACACGCTGGCGGCGGTTCGAAACATGTTTCTTATAAGTGCTCTTTTAATGTGTGAGGGGTGAGAGGAGCGGTAGTGAACCACTATATTCTTACTGCTTGGCTTTCGATACCATTTTGTGTTGTAGCCGTTCTCGGATAGGTTAATTTGAAGGTTTAAAAATGGAAGCCAGTTTTCTTTCGGTTTCTCACGGGTGTTTATGTACTCTGACTGTTCATTCAATAACTTAAAGCATTTGTCCATCTCATCTTGTGTGGAGCAGATGACAAAACTGGCTCCAAGTTTTGCCACTGCGTTTATGTCTAAGGTGGAAGCACCAGTGACCGATCTCGGGGCGCTACTCCACTGTAGACATATAGGTGACTGTTTTGTCTTTTGCTCAACACAAGAGGAAATGGACAAATGTTTCGAGTTGTTGAACGAACAGTCAGAGTATATCCAGTTCACCCGAGAGAAACCGAAAGAAAAATGGCTTCCATTCCTGAACGTCCAAATTAACCTATCAGAAAATGGCTACATTACGATATTGTACCGAAAGCCAAGTAGTAAAAACATCTTGGTACATTACCTCTGTCCTCACCCCTATCACACGAAAAGAGCGCTTGCAAGAAACATGTTTCGAACAGCTACCAGCGTGTGCATAGGAAGACAACATAGGGAGGAGTCCCGGAACTTGGCGCGGCAAATAGCCATTTGCAATGGCTACGAAGCTGTAGCTCGGGATAGGTGTAGGGGAAATCGGAAGCTTCCAAACGGTAACTAGAGGTCCCGTTTATCCTACGCTTCATCTCAAATGATGTAAGTGCAGCTATAGAACTTAAGACTTAAGTTCTATAGCTGCACTTACATCATTTGAGATGAACTTAAGAAGGGTGGGTTTAGAGAATTCGGTAAACGTAGTTGAAATGCCACCGAGTACTCTTAGGCGCCAACTAGTTCGTAAGCGCCTATATAACTGTCCATGTGCTACGCAAAATTGCATAATTTGCCCTAATGGTAGAGACGGTGATTGCAAGAGCTCGGGTACTGTTTATCTGATCTCCTGCATGAAGTGTGGAGACGAATACATCGGCGAAATGGGTAGACCACTCTGTGTCCGCATAAAAGAATACCTAGTCGGTAAACGTAAACCAAATACCCCATCAGGCACGCTTAGGATCCAGAGACACAACGGGGAGCACTTTAAAGTACGTGTCACGATCCTCGCACAGGAATCGAGAACAAAACTCTTAAGGTGTCCTGGATTAAGTCCAGAAATCCGAAAATGAACCGCAGGGAAGAATGCCTCATTATCACGCGTGATATTGGGCAGTATACAAGACTGTTATTCTGATGGGTGGGGCACATTAGAGTTCCATGTGAATTCTGTGTGGTTGGTCTTCACGCGTCATACTCAGTGGAAGACTGATAGAAGGCTGTGAGTTTGCAAAGCTGTGTTTAATGTGATTGAAATCACGGTTTAACGTTTTCTTTGTTTGGTTATGGAGGTGCTCGGCCGAATAGATTGCTGTCAACCTGACCTTCCCAGGCTCTGAGGAAGGCGAAATCCGCCGAAACGTCAGCTTGTTCTTGAATAAAGAATAAAATAGCTCCTCGCGTTTGCTAAATAAGAATACGAAGAATTATTCTATGCATTCACTACCGTAACCAGTCCAAATACCGTCGGAGCCATGTCACATCGAACTATGGAAATACTTAGGCAATAACTTAATTGTTCCTTCTCCTTTAATAGTTCTTCTGAATCATTCTTCCAGCGCATGCTAGTTTGTATTGCTTTGATTGGAATCGTTCTGAAGTTGTCGGTATTCTAGGTGATTCATAGCGTATTATTTCAGTAGTATTCAATGAATGATACAAACAATGAAAACTCTAAAAACTGTTCGCAAATGCGAAGCCAGCAACAATGCCGATGATGAAACGAAAAGACAAAGAGAAAGAGAGAAAGAGAAAGAAAGAGCGGGAGGTAGATTGACAAAGCGATGAATTCTTATTGAAAGTGAGCATAGCGGAATATAACGATGCGAAATCACCACTCTCACATAGGTTAGGAAGAACTTCATTATTTCTGTCCAAAGCACCAACTAGAAGTAAACTCATGCTAGTATTCACCATCATCTTGGAAAAAATCTCATACTACAGGACTCGCTCCTATTTCAAAGACCGACTAGTGCCTGTAGTGGAAAGTGTAGACCTGAAAGTTGTGATGTGGTAATCTTGTGATTGCTGAAATAAGTGAACCTTTCTCAAGTAGCAACCACCAGCTATATAGAAATTTTGCTTGCGAATGAGCAATTTTTTAAAAAGGGTTGACATTTAGATATCCAAGCAACTAGATATTTATGAATGTGCTTAGAAACCTTTGCACTAGTCGAAAACTAGTGCTCAGCGCCATATACTCTTAAAAACGACTCTAATGAGATTTCTTAACTTTAATCTTACTGGGCTTTGTTCGCGAATTATTATTCTTTAATAATTTTTCCTACACCATCCAGTTATTCACCTGTTTTTATCCTAGGGCTCACTGAAATATGACGATCTCATACAACCTTGATGTCTCGTCGGTTTCGTCGACCACCTATCTAAAGTTACTCCTACGATGGCGCGGATCCATATGGAAATCTGTGAAAACAGAATTCGGCATATGGACTGTTAGTTATTATACTGTATTTGCTATATACCGCTATGTTTTAAACTCTTATCAGCAAAGGTGGGTCCACATTTTCGTTATCGACTTATCGATTTTTTCATCATCCTGTAGATTTACAACTTAAACAAACATCGTTGTCCCTACGCCGTTTTGAACTTACTATTTGGTAAATTCCAAACTACAAAAAGATTTTGGGCGATTAAAACTTTAGAAATTTAGAAAATTTGAAAAGATCGCCTTCTATTGTGATGGAAAGCTCGACTATATACCACTGACGTTTATGCTCGCCTTTTTTGTGAATGTGATCGCCGATCGATGGACGAAAATCTTCAACAATATGGGATGGATTGAAAAGTACGGTTACCTTTTTTTTGTCAAATGAGTTAACAATAGTCGACTTTGGTTTGTAGAAACAATGACGGGGTGCTCAAGATGGTTTTGTCCTCAGAAAAAGAAGCGGTGATCATTTCACAGCAAGAAATCTTTCTGTTGATAACAATCTTACTAAAGGAAAAATAAAACGGTAGAGCTTTCAATGATGATCAATATATAAGAAGTGAGCGGTGCATTTGGCCCTATTCTCACGAACATAAATGTGATTCGATGCGTATTTCGCCTATGCGACGAATTGCTTCCGGAAACCTACCTATGCCAGATCTCGGATTATAGTCTCTGAGAAGAACAAAGACGTCGAAGCGCTACAGGAATAAGCGTTTGGAAACAACCTCGTGTTCGCTTATCAATGAAATAAGGCACATATCAAAGTCGGCGTTTATCTTCCCAGATAAGTGCAATACCAATTTCCCGACGTCAAAGGTATGGAGGGGAGCGGAGGCGCGTGTAGTACAGTGGTCCGAGGCACCCTGCAATACGCATGTGATCGGACCCTGCGCACCAGGCCCGCCAAGCCCTCCATCCCTGCGGAGTAGGCAAACTGGTACCAGACTTGTCTGGGAGGATAGCAGCACTGGCTCGATACATCGGTATATCACCGCGAGTCATTGTCAACGGCAGATATGCATTCAGTCATTTTCAATGATGCTTAGTGAAGTCGAATGTATTGCACATTCCTAAGGATTGTTCAACTCCAAGAGCTTTATCCTTTATTTATCATTGTAAGAACGAACAACCATCTGGAATTCAGGCTAATTCTTCATTTGTGACTTCGGGGTATGGCTTCCTTCTACATAAAGCGTCGAATTTGCCATAGAATCTCATCCCCTTGTCTCTTATCTTAGCTAGTCGCCGTGATTTGTGAATCAACAGTATAGTTCCCTTCTTCTGATTATCCTTCTTTCTGGGCTTCCAGATAGAACTGTACAACTCGTTCACCACTTGGATGGCTTCCTAAGGTAGTGAAGCCCCTGCTTAGCATTACATCTAAAACCAAACGTATAGTAATTACCCAGTAAACCACTAATGGAAAAATTACTGAATGAATAAGCAATGAAGTAACCTTCAACGGTGAAACAATTAACCATGGCAGCGATAAACTAGAAAATTTTTCAAAAGTATCACTGGCATGAACGGTTAGGATGATTAAGATATTGACTGCGGTTGCGATTAGTTCCTATATAATAAGAGCACTTGGAAAAAAGGGCTCTGAATTGCGATATGTATGTTTTCAGCAGTGCTTTAACACTATCGGCTCTGCTGAAAAGTGAAAGTAATGAAGAAGATGCTAGGCTTATGCGTCGATCGATAACCCGCTATATGATACTTAGTCAGGTTGGTCAGTTAGATATCGTAGGAAAGTGAAGACGTCACGCCAGATCATTCCTTAAGAAAGTCCACTCCCACATGAGACGGTGTTTGTCAAGAATATTTACGAAGCGTCAAGTTTTGCTTGTTTATTGATGGTCTTATGAGGTAACTATTGCATTCGTAACGATTAGGTGAAGTTTCCTTTATAGATTTTAACGTATCGTGATATTTCTATCCAAGTACGGCGGCGATTTCCTGATATGTCGACGATTGTAGCAGCAGGTGAACGATTACTTCTATGAACAACTTTCACAAACGTTCTGCTAATCATCTTTAAATGTTTTTCGCTCCTCATCATGCAGAGAACCATCGCAGAAATCAAGCCTTGTACAAGCTTAGGAAGCAATCTTTTTCCTTGTCCTAGATCACTTCAAATCGCTTCTAACTACATGGAGTTTAGTGAAATTAAAATCGGTTTCTTTGATGGATAATTACAAGAACAGAAAGGAAAAAATTGTGGTAGACAGTAAATAAAAAGTGAACATTGTAAAAGAACAGTGTCGACTTTTTATTTACTACCTGCTACAATTTTTCACTGCAGGGTATTGTGTGGAATACAACCACAATAGTGGTGAGATACTTGCAAAACTCCAAACCGTAGGCATCTGCGGTGAGGAAGGAAGGACCTCCCATGGTGTGGTGGTGAGCGCGTTCGCCACCGGAGAGGGTAACAGCGTGTTCGATCCCGTCGCAGACCTGCAGTCTAGAGTTCTGGAAATATCTCAGCACCATTGCGGTTGTATTTCACGTAGAAGGACAGTTTTGCACACTTTCAATTCCGAATTTCGCTGAACCATGGAATGATTAATCAGTATTCTGGTTTATTGATTATGTTACACGAAGCTGTTGTAAATGTTTATAAACCGGCGATATCGCCTGTTTCAAATCCACGATGAATCGAGTTGAAATTTGCGAGGTGCTTCACTTTACTGTCTTCAACTCGAAGTGATCATGAAGGAGACCCACATCATGAGAAAAACTAACTAGTCTGAACACCCGACTCGAATCATCGTGGCTTTTAGGAAGACGAAACCGCCGAAACCTTAGCGATAACAAAACTTGGCGACAATCTCTTGTCAACTCGTCGATAAACCTGAAGTGTAGTGTGGCTTGGTTGGCCTGAGGGCTTAACTCGTCCCGCTCGAAGCTGTCAACGAGCTTGTGGACAAACAGCACAAGCATCTTTGCACACCATTCACTTTGCATTGCTATATGCCTAGAATTTAGTGCAGATTATTCCCCAAATTATTTCGCCACATAAAATTTCATCTTTTCTTCTCAGAATTTTGCTTCGTGCTCTTCTGATTCTGCATTTTACTTTAGGTTTTATGATGGAACATGAGATGCAAATGCTTGAAAATGTTCCATGTTCGTACAACAAGTGAGTTTTACTATAGAACCTTCATAGTGAAATTCGTAACAAAACTAAGTGATTAGAAAAACGGAAGTTTTTATGAATTGTCGAAATCTGGAGCCGTTAGTGCACATAAGTCACTACGCTTTTCAGAAAGGCTCAAAGCAGTAGGACACAGAAGGTTTCGCCGGATGGGACTGAATTTTAATGCTACAACAATTCATAATTTCTTAGTGATTCGATCACTGTTCTTCTGTATGCCAGCAATTAGGAAAACGATTTTACTCCAAATGTTTCTCCCATACACGATTTGTCATCTAATTCCATCTTCCGGTTGGCAGGAAAAGTACCTTGCCAAATTGTGTTTGAATCGAATGATCGTATGAAAAAGTGTCAAAAAGAGTCTAGTTTTTCTTGAAAGGATGAGAACAATTTCAGCCTATAGGTAGGTCCTTCGATACCCCTGTCCATCAACTACATTCTTTCTTGCTTAACAGCGGATTGTCATCCAAAAAGATATACTTAGTATATGAACAGTACGATTTTTTTTCTTGTTTCATCTCCCACTTTAAACTCCTCAGTTTTTGGTTCTGCAGTCTCACTCGATGGCCTTCCTTCTTGGCGTTGAATCCTAGGACAACAAATTTTTCTTGTGAATCACTATTCGAATCGTCACATGATGCGTCTAATTTGGCTTCGTTTGCTTAGCTAGTCGTTGAGTAAGCAGTTCACGATACTCGTGACACAGATTTTTGGAACCCATTGGGGGACAAGCGTGATGTTACGATACCCTGTGAGCTGACACAGTGGGGAAGGGAAACGGACGATCCCACAGAGAGAACTCTGACACCTACATTTCATAACAACCTGTGACATGGACCAGAATGATTTTCTTTTCCTTACGTCGATTTTTGGCTCACGTACATCTAAGAAGCGACAAAGTGGGCACATATGTAGGCTTGAAAATGAGCTTAGAAGTCAATGCTTAAGAAGAATTGAAGTTTTAAGTATAAAGTACGAAGCTCTTTCTGTAGCATATTGTTCACTTGATGTTATCACCTTCTGCAAATGATCTCCGAAGCACGCCGAGATTTTGTTGCCTCTCAAAAGTTGCTTGCCTCAACATATGTCAACGTAGAGGTGGACTCAAATCTACGAGTCACCGGATTCTTTCTCGATGGACCAATTTTAGCTTTTATTTTAGAATTAGTTCAGAATCAGAAAGGCGTTTTAATGTCAACACTAAAAGCTAGTGTCGGCTTTTTTAGATGGAATGAAAGTTTGCCAATATTGCATGAAATTTTTTGACCTTTAAACAGAGTTCCGGACATTGGCTTTTTCGTAGACGAAATTCTTGGCGAACGTGTTGTCGCTTTCTCAGCCTTATATTTTTTTTTACTTTGCGCATGATTTTTGACTACTACTACATAACTAGATATCACATATATTACACCCTGCGGATCCTATCACTTTTTGCTGCTTTTTACTCATTCATTTCCTCGCATCTGCCTTCTACGAAGAATCATTGGGCGTTTTTGCGTGCAACTTCAGCAACGCTTGAAGATGTTTTCGTCTTCATGACAATAGTTTGAATGCCAGTGGAGACGATTCCTGGAATGGTAGGTTGTTCGAGCTAACGCATTTCTATGTGAACTAGAAGAATAGACCTTTCCCGGACAAGCTCGGTACCAATTTCCCAAGCCCAGCAACTACGAGAGACTTGGGGTGGGGGTGGGTTGAGCCGTTGGCGTACTGTGGGGCAGTATGACAGTATTACCACCCATCGACTCCCTAGGCAATTCAGATCCCATACGTCTCCTACATATTACTCCATTTTCTGTAGTAGGTTTCGTTCAGATACTGGGTTCCAATAAACTGGGCTCTGAATGTAGCAGTGAAAGCCTACTCGAAGAATTATATCGAATCCTCGCCTAGTTTGAACTTCTTGCTCAAGGTATACATATATGTTTAACTCATTCTATCTTTGCCTTTACTATCCTTTCACACTACATAAAGTCATTGCAGGAAATCCTCGATTTTCGTACAAGTCTTGCACTTTTATGTAACTATGATTGGGTACCAATACCAATAGCTTATCCTCAGGTCGGTAATCTACCATTTGACAGTCTTGCACACCGTAATATATCACAGAGCGTTTTAGAATATTTTTATCCTTTATTTTTCAAAGTAATAGCGGCTAAAAATTTCTTTCCGCGCTACCTAGATATGGGAGTGTTGGAGGAACTGCATGGTTATCTTATCGTGCTCCATTGAATGTACACCATGTTTGTCTATTCAGTTAATCCCTGACCGCATCTTCCTGCATATCACTTACTTTGTCTCAAGGTTTTGGCCCAATTCACATATAGGATAAAGCCCACATGCATACATGGGCATCCACGTTTGCTGTGAAAGGTAGAGCAGCGCAGCAATGACACCGTTTCCATTTCTTGAATCCACTGTAACCTCTAGGCAACAACATGATTAGTTTTGTTAGGTAGTTGAAGTTCGTTCGTCGTATGGGGATTCAGCATGTGCTTCCTTCTCGAGTAAGCAAACTGGAGTTTTCCACATGACGGAGAGCCGTTTGAAGACCCATACTGCATGTGTATCCCTTTATTGTTAAGTTAAAAGGTTGGCAAAAAGGTTTATTCGGCTAACGATTCAACGTCCTCGTCATTCTCAGAGCTGATGATTCGTCCACTGCCGTCCATTTTTCCGATGTGATGTCTTCGTCGTTGCATCGAGTCGGATCTTCTTCACTGGAGCACCGTTCGAATGAGGCAACCTCACCCGCCAGCGCTCATTGATATACGACGGTTGTTGGTGACAGTTACTGCCCATCGATAACAAGCTGTCTTTCTCCAGTCAGTCCATCCTGTAAAAGTCGATCTCATTATCAACTAACATATAGCGAGTCAATATTTCAAAGGCCGACTTTCCTTGAACCTCGCCATGGCTAATCCATATGTACTCTTTACTATTCATTTATAAATTTGTCGTTCTGGTCATGAACATTACATAATTAAGTAAGAAATAGATTTTTATACATTGCAGGTTGTTTTTCTCGCCGTTCGCTCCTACTTTCTTATTTGCCTCGTTTCGCGACAATCTCTTATTGGAGATGGAGCTCCAGCTGAAACGACGGTAAGGCAGTGGAAATTTCTTCTAAGTGTAATATCCTTTACAGCGTTCTTCGTAGAAATATTCTGAGAAGTGATGTAGTGGCAGTTTCTCTGACTTCTCTAAAAAGTAAACAAGTGTGGCCGACACTCAAGATGGTCTACAGTTCACTACAGATGTTGAACTTCTCTTCAGCATCCGTAATCATTCTGTAGATTAACGACTTTGCATGACAACACTGCCTCTGTGGTGCCCCTATTATGAGACGTTGTACAAATGTGAAATGTAGCCTATAGTTACCTGGATACCCATTGTATTTTAACGTAGAAATAAGAGCTGCGCCCAACTGTTGCACAGAAATTGTAAGGTAACAGTCCCACTGAAATTTTTCCCGTTCTAAATTCGCCATTGCAGCCTGCTAAATCCCTGCTGGTGGAAGCTATCATGGATTTTTTTTCGATCGTCGTAACGTCAGGAAAATGCAGAGCATTGCAACAGAGTCACAAAATTTAACGAAAAACACCCTTGGTCGACTTGGAGGCCATTAATTACAAGTATTTCTGGCAATGTAACAACATATTTTCAAAAAAAAATCCAGTATCAGCAAAGAACTCATAAATGATTATCCTAACTAGTAACGGTTTTCGACGGAGTCGTTATAATCACCACATTAGGCTAATTAGATTTTCACGGTTACAATAAATCGAAAACCCTAAGCCGCCTATTGCTTTTCATCAGATACTCCCAATACCGTAACAAAACATCTCAGTCCTGGTGAAGTTCAAAGGTGTTGATAATTTTAGATCGATATCTATGTACCATTCATGACAATGCTACAGTTCCTCTTCTTCGTTGCTTGGATGAAGGTTGGACAAACTGCTTTACTGTAAATTTTTAATTATTTGTTGTTATGTGTGGTTTCTTAATATTTAGGTAGCTGAGGCCTTGTTGAATCCTCTCGGCGAGGACGATGACGACTTTGAATGCAACTTTCTAATCGACCGAAATATCGGTGTAGGTATAAGTCAGAGTATAGATAATTCTTCAATCCGTGAAAAAAGTCATCATCGCATTTTAGCAGCAATTCAGTTTCTTCGTGACATTTATTTTTTATTACATCCATTTATTGCTCACTGAGCGGATAGCACAGTGGCAGTGATGTTGGTCATCATGAGCATGGTGCTAGTTCGATTCCGCTCTGGGTCCACCAAGCACCTCATCCTCTCCGGGGTCGGGAAATGGGTACCTGAATTGTCTGGGAAAAAATTCACTCTCTGCAATCCAATTGGGGATGCTCCAGTCCGGCTATCTCAAGACTCCGGGGAGAATTCCTCAATCAGTATTCTACGACATTCAAGATGAAATGGAAATCCTCAAGCTGCAAGCGAAGCCACACCCAAAAGTTGGAAATTCTTTGTGGACGATGAATGCGAGGAAACGAATCGAATGTGAGAAGTGCTGGGATCTGCACAGTAGGCACGAAGACGGATCAAATAAAACAAAATAAAATTTGAAAAAATACTTACTGCTCACCTATTAGTAGCAAATACGCCTAGCTCGAAAAACATTCGTTCTATAGGGAAGCAATAAAAGTGCAAGAAATCTACAGAAAGTAATGAAAAGCATGATTACTCATTGGGAGCCGGATAGCTTCCAAAAGCAGTCAACATATTTCTTAAAATAAACTAGTTTACTTATGACACGGAAGACAATGAACTTTTTCCGCTGTTTTCTGACCTCACGAAGAAAAACTCCGATTCGGGTTTTTACGAGTGAAGATATCTGGATCAATAATGGCTTCGCCAATCTTGGTCGTGTACGCGCCGACATCAGACGAAGTTGAGTCGTTCTATATGAACTTGGGGAAGTTATACAAAGAAGACCATACATTCTTTAAGGTCAGCACTGGAGATTTCAACGATAAGATTGGAAATAGAAGAAGAACGTCACATTGGGATCCACGGAATAGAATATATCGAGCAGGGTCAACGCCAGTCTGAGTTTATCATAACAACCAAGACCTTTGTTGGTAATTCACAATTCCAGAAACCCTGCTCTTAATACTGGACTTGGAAGTCCTCCAATGGAAAGTGCCGTACCGAAATAAACCACATCATAGTAGATCGAAGGTTTTCGAAGGGCAGCTAAGTTCAAAGAATTCTCACAACCATAAATAAACTGAGAAATATTCACTTTTCAGTTTGATCTTAGGATGCTATTGTTGATAACATCTATAAGAATGCCGTTGGCCCATTCAACATGTTTGCGTTAACGCTATGAAAGCTAAGAGTTCGGAAGCCACCAAGAGACGTCTATCACCAGAAACGCTCGAGCTGATACGCCATCGCTGATTTGCACGAGCCACGTAGTACCGACAACTCAAGCACCAACTTGCGAAACAATGTGGACAGGCTATAAAAAATTATCATAGGGAGAAAAAAGCAGCGGTTATGGCAAAACTGCAGACGCTAGAAAAAAAAACTTGTGTGGCCCACCGAAAATTCGTTAGTTACGAAACCAAGATGGGTGCGGAGGTCTTCGGCGGAGCGGTTACAGCTTTCAGAGAGGTAGTAGAAAAAAAGTCACACAAGATTACTACTCGAACCACTACAGTAGTCATATCCTTCTACTCTTATATTAAATAAAGAAGAATGGATATAGTCTTAGCCGTTCTCTCTACCGAAAATCAAAACGCTCCCTCGTCGGTGAAGAATCGAGCCACACTTGGTCCAGAAAGGATAAAACCTGATCATGTGAAAAACCTTCCGGTAGTTCTCATCCACACACTAGCTCGACTATTAACATGGTGCATGTCAGAATACAAGATTTCTACTCAATGGAAGACCAGCAAGACCGCGCTTTTGATGAAGAAAGGCGACCTCCATAATATCGGCAACTATCACCCAGTCTCCCTACTGATTGTTGTCTACTAACTGTTCACTGGAGTCATGCTTAGCAGGATTTACGGAACACTAGAGGAAAGATAGGCATCTGAAAAAACACGACTTCGAAAATGGTTCAGTAAGTTAGGTCGCATCCACATGATAACAACACTCAATTTGCACAGATTTGAAGATTTTCAGTTTTGACTTTTTGACTCAGTTGAAATAGAATATAATACCCAGCCAGGGCGTCCCTAGTCAGTATTCAAAGATTCTTTGTTAACTATATAAAAATATTACAACCAAAAGATCACCGTTCTTCAATGATATTAACATGGGCATAATAAACGGAGTTAGAGAGGATGCTACAATCTTTCCAAAATTATTTACTGCCACCTTCCAGAATATTATGCGAACATTGGAATGGAACGACACGGGAGTGAAAATACATGGTTGGCAATGATACCATCTTTACTTTGTTGATGACACCATACTTGTAATACCAAGAGTTGACCAGACTGAACGAATGTTACCGACTTTGATAAAGCTCGTGGAAAGATTGATCCTCAATTTTCCAAAAATAATCTTCACGAAAAGCGGATCGGCTTCTATGTCCCATTAACGCCCAAGGGATCGAATATCTCCGAATGTCTCGGTTACGTCAATCCAGTTTGAAAAACTACCACGGTGAACCACTCGGCTCTAACGATGAGTGGCGGAAAGCGAGCAGATTGGGGAGCTTTCATGAACGTCGAGGATGTAGTGAAGAGGACAAAGGTCATCAGACTCCAAGCACTCCTTTTCGACTCCACGATTCTTTTTCTCTTAACGTAAGCATCAGAAACCTGGTTACTATGTAAGCAGGGTGAAAGATCATTGAGCGTTATAGAATGTGCACTCGAAAGGACGATGCTGGAAGTATTCCTTACTGCGCTAGTGAGGGGAAAGATCCAAAGCTCCGATCTACGGCAATGACTAAAAATCACACACGCTGTCGTAAATGCCAAATTATCGAATATAAGGTGGACCGGACACGTAATGCGTATGAACGACAACTGATGGACAAGAGCAGCTTGTTAATGCACTCATCTAGATGTCAAACGTACAGTATCAAAAACACCGATCCCTTGGTTAGAATTCTTCACGAAAACTTTGAAAGAAAGATGTGACGCTCATCAAGTCCATAGAGGAAGCAAAACCCACTCGGCCACTCTTGCACGCAATAGGCAGCAATGGAATGCTTATTCATGCCCGCTGAAGTCACACGACGATCAAGCGGACGACTGGTAAGAGGTGACAGCTTTTTCCGATTATTCTGTAAGCTAGTATTGCTGAATTTTCATTAAAAAGGCTGTGTAATGCACATTTTTCATAAAACCTATATATGAGAGAACATTTGCTTGTGAGTTCCTGAAAAATCCAGCGGGAGAATCCGAATGCTTTTCGATCAAAAGGATGTTTGCAATCTTCTAGCTGTCTTTGTTTGGGTTAGCAGTAATGCCTAGGTTTCTTATAATATTAATTTTCTCCGAACATGCTGTTGGCCGCGTTTAATCATTCGACAGCTTAGATGAAGCTTGCAAATAGATGAACCCACTTCCGCACAGATTTGACATCCAGCAGCGTTTCTTAGAGCCATTATTAGTTAAGAAACTAGTAAGAGACCTCTTACCGAAGTTAAGTGAAAATTGCTCTAGTAAAGCACTATTTCGCCATGTGTTAGCTATTCGAATACCCATTTCTACAAGATGAAATGTCCATATGAAAAACGCCGTTACTAGTCGACAATCAGTGAGCAATCGCGAACATAGGGTTACTTCATTCGAACGGTCCTGTACTCCAAAAGATTCGACTCGATACGAATACGAAGAGTGACACCGCGAAAACGAACGATGGCGGGTCATCGGCTCTGACGAAGAAAACGTCGAAACTTTAGCTGCTAAATAAAGCTTATATTACTTCGTGCGAGCTGGTTAAACAAATACATTGATGGGAGAGCGGCTAAGCTTCTTCCCCCTTACTCCAATCTTTGCTTTGTAATTGAAAAATTGACTAACATTTGAAAAAATATTCACTGGATTAGTCTCATTTATAGATTGGTATGGCAATTGTTGACCAAACATGTGGTGAACATCCTACGCTGAGAATGGACGATTTATCGAAACGCGATTTCTCACACTACAATGGAGCCGCCGGCGAGCACGCACTTGTTGGATCAGCTGCTACCGTTCTGTAAGTGTTTTCAGAATCCACATTCTATTATTCAAACTTAGCCTTGATGACTGAACTCAATGTAATAGCTATAAATTGACACTTAAAATTCGAAACTATTAACAGGAAGCTAAGCTCACCGATTGACTCAATCGTCAGTTGTTGAAAGACTAGTTTAAACGAATCAGCTTTACCCCAAAGATATAGAAACACATGAATCCGCTAATAAAACGAAATTTGCCTCGAGCAGAGCTAACAAATTCAGATTACCACCAAGTTCCGCGGAGGCATTCAGCCGGGAGGGATCATGTGAGTTATTCTCTTTTTTACGAACAAGTTACGTCTAGATTTAGTGTTCCTACAGCAGTTCTTCTAAAAAAAGAACTTTGTTTATTGAGGTATAAAGATTCTTATCAACAAAAGTTCGCAATTCTCTACAAGAATCAAAAACTCACAACGGTTATTTAAGTTTTATCCTTGTCAAGGATGTCACTGGGAAGACGGTCACAACTGTCGACATATGATAAAAAAAGGTTTGCCAGCAATTCAGATCCTGGATAATAACTTTATATGTGGGTATTTACTAAGGTTTCTGAATCACATGATGTTTAAATTTCCTAAGCTGCTGCCATAAACGAATTTAGTCGTAGTTGTCAACGTTTTAAAATACAGATGCCACAGGCAAGCTTGAAGGAAACTGATAATGCAGCAAATAACTTCCTTCATAGTTGAAGAGTGACAATGGATTCCCAGGTCACGGTATATAGATATATACGACCTTTGGGGTTCGGTGAGAGATTTTCCACTTTGACACTAAGATGATTTCAGTACGGTAGCCAATCAACGTACTCGTTTACTCATGCTTTGGGGCCTTAGATCCAGATATCAAATCCTAGAAAACATCTTATTAGATTGGTGACACTTTTAGGAGGAATAGTCCCATGTCATATACCATTCTTTGGCACTCAGGAATACATCCGACTATGAAAAGACAGTAAATCAGTAATTCAGGGATCCAGCAGTCGAACTACTACGTAGAGAATTCATATTCTTTTTGTAGGGAAAGGAATTAATGCATTAGGACGATGTTAGAAGGAATAAGAGATTCTTCTAAGGTCTAAGAATGTGTAACGATTGCACCAAGCCTAACGAAGAAAAAGTTGACATTAGTAGTAAATAATACTTTAAAATTATATGGATTAGAAACATAATGAATCAATAAGCAGCTGCAAACTCTCTCAACCATCAACACCTATGAATTCGAGGGTTACGTCCAACAACACCTCAGTCGACCAAGCAACGTCTGCAAATTCTGAACTCCAGACAGGTATACACGACATAAAAGCTAATTGTAGACTTATAAAGGTGTAGATATAGATATGTGATATAGACATCAATATGTCAATAGGTAATAGGTAATAGATATGTCAATATATATGATGTGCTTTAAAATGAAGTAAAAAATGATTGAAGGACATTCTTCGACGAGAAGAAAACCGTACACCGCCGCAGTGTCTCCAATGGCTAGTGAATCAAAATGTATTCAGGTGAGCAATGTGATGCATACAAGGAGGTAGAGTAACATTTTTAAGTGGAGATCACTTTTTCTCCTATCTGTTAACTAAACTCGATTATAACTTGTTTGTAAATCAATTCGGTATTTATCACCTTCATCATCGTATTGAAAAAGAAGAAAAATACAAAAAACTATAAGAGATTTCATTAACCAAATAGGGAATTATGCTTCTTATAAGAAGGAAACTATTAAAAAATATGATTAAAGAACAATTTTATTGGAACGACGGAAAAAAACGCGTTGGATTAATCTCTAAAGGATGCGCCATCCGTTCAATTCAGTTAAATATAAGTGAGGCGTGCGTGGCGTAGTACTTCGAGGCGACCTGCGGCACACGGGATCGATCCTCCGCTCTAGGTTCACAAAGCCCTCCACCCTCCGAGGTCGGCGAACTGGTACCAGACTTGTCTTGGACGGTAGCAGCACTACTCGATACAGCAGTAGGCCACTGCGAATCATTCTATTGGTCAGATGTGTATTCAGTCACCCCTAGTGATGCTTATGGAAGTCGAATGCATAGCGCGAATCCCTCAGGGAATGATCAACGACGAATGCATTATCCTTTATCCTTTATAAGGAAAGGAAATAACTGCACTTTTAGCCCGAGCAATCACAAAACAACTCGGGGACATACCAATGTATAGTCAATGTTTCCACCTTCCAAAGTCAGTCTGCTGCTAATTTGCCGTTGCTGAATTGTTAGAACGCTTCCTTTCCTCTGAGCACGGTGACGATTGTTGAGCATGCTCTATCGACTTTGACGGAATTTTCCTTACACAGAAGTTTCAGTTATCAGCGATGTTTCAGACTTGCATCTGGTAGAAACGAATTGAATGAAGCGATGTCACCAACGGCAGAAGATGTGTGATGCCGTGACATCAAAAGGTAAAAAAGTGCGTTGATCAATCCCTGAGGGATGCGCCATGCATTCGACTTCATTAAGCATCGTTTGGAGGTGATCGAATGCATATCTGGCCTTTACAATGGCTCGCGGTGGCCTACCGATGTATCGAGCCAGTGCTGCGATCCTCCCAGGCAAGTCTGGTACCAATTTGCCAACCCCGGAGGGGTGGAAGGCTTACTAGACCATGGACGCGGGGATCAATTCTACGTGTGTTGCAGGGCACCTCCGACCACTACGCCACACGCGCCCTGCCGTAACGTCAAGTAACATTGAAATATTTAGCAACCACACGCTATGTTTTCAAGAAATGAGCAATTATACTTCACCTTCCTTTTCTTCCTTTCGTAGTTTGACTCTTACCCTTACAAGACAATATAACGAAAATCCGGTCTTCTATTACTCTCTACTTTATGCATACAACAATTACCAAAAAATGACGTAATAATCGTTTTTACTTATTCAGGATTCGAACGACAGATTCATTGTGATCAAATTGTAGTCAGATCTTGGCCTTTGTGTGCAAGGACGACTAACCTCAACCTATGACAAGTATCCGCACAGCTATTCGTTTCATCGGTGTTTGATGAGAAATCAAATAAAATCGTAACGTAAAGAAACTTGTTCCTTAGGATATGGACATAAAATTGAAAATAAGTAAGTGCAATAAGCACAGTGGTATGTAATAAGCATATATGCCTCACGGCGTGGTCAGTATATATGATGTCCGTGTGAGCACAGCAAATGACACATTCAAGAAGGATTTCTACTCAGTTTATCAACTATTCAAAGCCGACACGAGAGCCGCCCAATTCCGAAATCGCTAATAAACTCGATTTATTGTGCAGTGTTTAATTAATATTTTACTGACTAGTACGACTTTCGTGTGAAACAAAATTATTTTGTGTTAAAGCAAACAATATGGAGTCAAGATGTCGGCTAATCAAAAGTTCAGCAATGATTACAGTATCTGAAACAATATTTACTTACTAAGACGGTGAGTCTTCAGATGACCTTCACGCCTAGATCTGCCTGCACTCGCTTCGTTGTCCTGCAACCCTCGTTCACGGAGGGGGACCTGCTTACCAACTGTTTGAGGTCTGTGGTCAAACAGGTTTTTTGAGGAAGGGCATCAAGTTTAACGTTTACTTTTGAACCATGTGATAAGCCGCTCTATCTGAAACAGTAATGGAGAAAAACAAAAAAATGGCCAATAAAAATCATTCAACTCGGAATTACAGAACATATACTCCATACTATTACAACAGCATAGTTAAAGGACGATAAATAGATTCATCAGCTAATTATATGGATACTTGAACAGTTGAATAGTTAATGTTCATAAATTGCGCGGACACCCAGTAATGCAATAACTGGCTTTCACTAAACCTAGGCGTCGCCTAAAACTCTTGAATTCTGGAGGTGATGAAATCGTTGAACGTAATTCCGATTCCGGCTTTATGTCCGAAGCATTTCTTGCACAGTAAGTAGTCGAAATGCTGGAATAAGTAGTGCTCGGTAGGTGACAGCTCTCGCAAGCATGGTGGATGATGCAGAGTTTGGTAAACTAGGTCGCATCCAACTTTTCAAGCTTCGGTTATGCACCGTCTGGCCTCGTGTTAAGGTGGAGAACAATTGGCCCGTTTCTGCTGACCAATGCGGTGAGCAACTGCTCGAACTCCAGGTGTATTTGCTCGACACATTGTTTTGAGTTGTAATCGTTTCACCCGGATTCAAGAAGCTGTGACGGATTAAAGCAAAAGCAAACAACCAAACAGTCAAAATGACTTTTGGCGCAATTTCAGCTTTGGGGAGTGCTATGGAGATTCGGCGTGGTCCGACCGCTTAGCCGATCGCCGCTAGTTGTCGTAGAAGATCAATTTCGCATCGTACACCACAATACGATCAAAAAACTGGTGGTTTTACTTGTGCAGGAAAAACCCTGATTATGTCTTCACATGGCAGCCCTTTAATTATTATTCGAATCATGCAGCACTCATTTATCGAGCTTCTTCGACTTTTTAGTGTTCTTCAGATGATGCGAAACGGTTGAAATCCTGACACTAAGCCGTTTCGCAAGCTCTCGAATACTCTCCTTGCATATGTTTCTACCAAAGCCACAACTCGCCGTCTTCAGGAGAAGAAGTACATCTGTCGTCCTTCTCACCTTCACGGCCCATTCATTTGAATTCGGGTTTAACACGACAAAACTCAATAGGTATGTCGGAATTTCGGCCATTGTATCTGAAGCCCTAAAATTAGAAATTTGAGTGAGTAAAATGATCTTTGGACTAATGTGTAACAGTGTAACGTCCCAAAAAAAATTGCTATTAATGAATATACAAAGTAAAAATGGAAAATCCAGCACCAATTTTTTAGCAATCTAATCCAAGCAATGAAAAGAACACAAAATAGTACTTTTCGTTTTGTAGAAAATACTCACCATCCGCTGCTAACGATTCTCCTCACACCACTGGGCACGTCTGTTTTTTGTCTTATTCTACACAGCTCGGCTTCACATGCTATGTGGATCCCAGCACTTCTACTTTGCACGTTCCCTTACAAGCACTGTTAGAAAAGTTCTACGGATTTGCACGTGGGTTCGGCTGAACCATAGGAATGTTGTTTTTTCACTAATGTTAGTGAGGTGCGACATTTATTTACGCCCATGGTTGCAATGTGGGTAAGCGATCATACAGTTTTAGCGATCTAGGAACAGCAGTGTTGACAGAAACTATAGAAGTGAAACAGAGCATCAGCAACGTCTGCTAGGAGTTCATTAATGGCGGGAACAAAATTATCACTTCCAAACGTCCAGCCAAAATAGTCCATGAGTCATGAAAGGCAATAGAGAAAGTCATTCACCATTTTTACTCTGATCTCCTTAAAAATCTCGTCCGTTTGCCTGTGTGTTATTATCATAACAAATGTTACATTGGGAAGGATGGATTCCGCATATCGTCCGAACGGTCACTCTTTCCTACTTCCGACTTGGCACCTCGCCGATTTCCATGTCATGTGTCAGAATTCAAGATTCTTAATTAACGGAAATCTACACAACAACAGTAAATATCCTTGATCGAGTGCATCAACAAGATTCACTATCCTCCGTGAACCATATAGCTACTTCAGAACTGTAATTTCACCATTCCAAACACGGGATCGGACAACGTGCTAACATAACATAACATAACATGGAGAGGTGGTGGTAGAGAGGATTTTGTGGCCCACAATGACGTTGCTTACTGTAGTTACTGTGAAGCACGACTGGTTTATGATACATTTATTTCAACTGGAACATAGACTAGATGGCTTGCGACTCAAGGAGCTCCACAATGGCGAGTCTGCTCCGGAGTTTATAGAGGCCATATACCTCGATGATTTTAGAGTCTTCTACTTTCATAGCACTACCAAGAGGCATTGGACGAGCAGCGTGTGTTTATGATGGATATTGTTGATAACAGTATCTTTGCACTTGGCGCATGAAAAAGCCTAGATGGATCCCAACGCCAAGTATTTCTATCATTGCGTTTCTCGAAATTTATGTGTTATTTCCGTGTGGTGGACGGACGATCCGATTCTATGTAGAACTTTAGGAATACGGGCGTATCAGCGTCTGAGGCTTTCTATTTACTATAATGTAGTCGGTTATAACGTGGAGCTTCTCCCTTACAGTTTCCCCATTTTGACTGACTTGTTGAAGTGAACCAAACTCCCCACCTTCTAATTCGGTAGCACCCAGTTTGCTTTGCTTTAAAGTTCTTCATACGTTCTCTTAATAAAAATGGCGACGCCGAAGGCACCAGTGCTGAAAGTTCGGGAAAAATTTTCTCTTATGAGGATAACGATGCCCACATAGAAGAATTTCGACTCGTAATCATCGTAGCCCGTTTCTACGAAGTAGACAGCGAAGGTTGACCGTACTTTGTTAATAGCTTCTCAACTAAAAAGTCCGATTCTGGCGATGAAAGCTTAACGAAGTAGTGTTCATGATTAATATCTTAAAGGCATCACTACATAGCCACTCTATGATCGCAACTTCCGAAGAGTAGCCCTTCTATGATACCGTAAATCACATTTACTATTAGGTTGCAACATATGGATATTAGATGTTATTGTTTTGATTTTTCGTGTATTTCTTCAAATAAAAATTTTGTAATATATACATGTTTAATAAGCTTTTTTGAGGCACAAAGTCTGCTCTTTCTACATCTACTATTGGTTTTTTAAAGTCTTATTATGTCAACACTTTTATTGGCCTTAACTTTATACAAGTCAACGTGATATTCGTCTTTTTGAACGAGTGGAAGAGAGGATATAATACCGTGGTAGGAGCTCAAAATATCATCGAGTTTTGAGTGAAGGTAGTGTTGGTGCATCCATAGTGCGAACATGGTTCTGAAAATTCCGATCTGGTGATTTCGACCTCGAAGATAAAAGGAAGGCCACGGACATCGCAACGAACTTCACGACGACGAACTGAACGCACTAGTGGATGCAAACAAGTGAGCAACTCGTATATAATGCTGAAATATTTGCGAAACTCCGTACCGCAGGTGTATGCGGTGATGAACGAACGCGCGCTATTGTCCTTTCCGAGGAGTAGTGCACTTCACCACCACACCATCCGGGTCTTGCGTTTTGCCTGTCTCTCAGCTAGTTCTATTGATCTTTTGCCGGTGATGCCGGTTGACGGGTGATTGCTGATGAGCGTTCGTTCCCCACCGCATACACCTGCGGTCCGGAGTTTCGCAAATATCTCAGCATTATATACGAGTTATATTTCGCAACATACCCTGCCATTAAAAAGAAAAAGGAAGTAAATAAAAGGGTTAAAAAATTGAGCAACTGTTCGACAGCTTGCACAACATCTTGTGGTAAGCACAGGAGTAATTTCCGCTCACTTGAATCGCATCGAAAAGACAAAACACACTCGACAAATGGGTGCCACACGATTTAAACGTAATAAAAATTTACCGCCTTTTTACGATTTTCACGGCAGGGCAGACACCTACGGCTCGGAGTTTTGCAAATATCTCAGCATCATTGTGGTTCTGTTATTTTAATGTGAGACGCATATTACGCTTCCATGTGAACTTTGTGTGGTTGGTCTTCATGTGAAGTACCTAGCGGAAGACAGAAAATAGTAAGTGTGCCAAGAAACTATTATGCGTTCCCTGTGATCCAAATTTTGGTTTAGCACTTTTTCTATGTGGTAAAGGAAGGGTTTGGTTGGGTAAATGTTGTAGCTGGTTTGATCTTTTCAAGCTCAGAGGAAGTCGAACTCAGCCGAATAGCCAGCTTGTTCACAGACAGGGAATAAAATAACAATCCCAGGTCTGCTCATTAACAGAAGAGTCAAAAACGAAGTCTTAAAACCAGCATAACTTAGGACTTATTCAATCCATTGGTCAGCAGCTCGGAAGATACGTCCACGATAACATCGACGTTAGCGTTATGAAAGCTGAGAGTTCGAAAGTCACCAAGAGACATTTAGCTCCAGAAACACTAGAGCTGATACGCCAGCGCGGAATCGCACGAGCTGCAGGCAACCGTGTACTACCATCCGAACTTGCAAAACAATGCAAACAAACAAAGAAAGAATTATGTATTCTTTCTTGATAAGCTTGCACGAGGTTGATAAATATATTTATTTTCGGCTAACGTTTCGACGTCTTCGTCTTCCTCAGAGCCGATGATCCGAGTCGATGGTCCATGCTTGTTGTTCGTCTCGACGTTGCAGCTTCGCCTTCGTGTCGAGCCAGGTCTTCCTCCGTGAGCCATCTTCTCGAATGAGGCATCCTTACTCAGTGATGCCCTTTTGTACACGATGCTGATGGTGTATGTATAATGATAATGACCGGTGGTAACAACTTGTATTTCTTCCGGACATCATTGCGCACATCGTGCAGAAGTCGGTGTTTTTATCAGCTAGCACAAAGCGTAGGAATATTTCGAAACTGACCATCCTTGAACCTCGGTGTGACTAATCAATATGTATTCTTTCTTGATAAGCTTGCACGAGGTTGATAATGATGTTTATTTTCGGCTAACGTTTCGACGTCTTCGTCTTCCTCAGAACCGATGATCCGAGTCTTAGTCTACTTACTTATCAAAACCCATAAGTTAGTATCCAGCGATGATCTCGTGTCTACCGATCCATCGTTATTTAAGGTTAGACTTAATATTAGCTGTGTGGACGGGCCAACGGATAGAATAACGTGGTTAATAACCCTAATACTTACTCAGTTGACATGCCAGCTCATCTAACGAACACCCAAATGTTCCTGGATCGTCTACGTAACGCGCGACCCAACAGCGCGTACGTGGTGGAGTCCTTCGACGTCACTGCCCTCTATACGAACGTGTCGAATGACTCCGCTATACAAGCCATAAACGAGCTCCTTATACAACACGAAGGAGCAATACGGCTTCTCGTAACAGTTGATGACACTCTTAAAGGAGTGCCTAAACTGCTCAATCTTCAGATGGTCCGGGAGGTACTACGCACAAATGAGAGGGCTGGCAATGGGACAACGACTGGCACCAAGCCTTGCTATTGCATTCATGTCTGAGGTGGAAGCGCCAGTAATCGACCTCGCTCCGTTACTCTACTGTAGACTGCTTGGTCATTTGTTCAACACAGAAAGAAATTGACCGATGTTTCGAGTTGTTGAAAGAACAGTCAGAGTATATTAAATTCACCCGAGAGCAACCAAAAGAAAAGTGGATTCCATTTCTGAACGTGCAAATTAGCCTATCAGAAAACGGCTACATTACGAAGTGGTATCGAAAGCCAATTAGTAAAAACATCCTTGGTTCATTATCTCTCCTCTCACCCCTCTCACACGAAAAGGGCGCTTGTGAGAAACATGTATCGAACAGCTACCAGCGTGTGCACAAGAAGACAGCAGAGAGAGGAGTCCCTGAACTTGGCGCAGCGAATAGCCATTTTTAATCGCTACGAAACTGTAGCTCGACATAGGTGTAGAGGAAACCACAGGTACCCCAACGATAACTCTAGCGACAATAAGGTCCCGTTTATACTACCCTTCATTTCAAATGAAGTAAGTGCAGCTATAAAACGCTGTTTAAGAAGGGCCGGTTTAGAGAAAACAGTTACAGCGTCCAGAGAGGCAATGGAGAAAATCATTCACGAATACTACTCAGATCTCTTTGATAGCCATGTCTACCTTCCATTATATGAAGCAAAGGAGGATAGATATGTTGTAGCACAGGTTCTCCCCTTCGAAATCCAACATGCCATTTCGTCGGTGAAAAATCGAGCAGTACCAGGTCTGGACAGGATAAGGCCAGAACACTTGATGAACTTTCCGCCCGTCCTCGTAAACACACTGGCTCGGTTCTTCGCACGTTACCTGCCTGAATGCGATGTCCCTACTCAGTGAAAGACGAACAAGACCGTGTTCTTGTTCAAGAAGGGTGACCTACACTATATCGGAAACTATCGCCCAATCTGCTTGCTGTCTATCGTCTACAGACTTTTCACTCGTGGCATCCTAAACAGGATTGACAAAACACCGGACGAAGGACAGCCATGTGAGCAAGCATGGTTTCGAAAAGGATTTAGTCCGATGGGCGACACCCACACAATAACAAGACTCATTGAAGTATCACGAGAGTACAAAAGACCGCTCTGTTTCACTTTCATCGATTTAAAGATGGCCTCTGACTCAGTTGAGATAGAAGCAGTCATGAAAACTCTTCATAGTCAAGGAGTCCCTAGTACATAAAGATCCTTCGTGAGCTGTACAAAAATTTCACAACCAAGGTATCACCATTCTACAACGATATTAACATTGACGTCAAAAGAGGGGTTAGGCAAGGCGATACCATCTCGCCAAAATTATTCACCCCCACCCTCGAGAAGGTCATGCGAGCATTGGAATGGTATAAAATGGAAGTAAAAATCGATGGTCGGCAATTACATCATCTCCGCTTTGCTGATGACATCGTCCTTATAGCACCAAACATTAGCCAAACGGAACAAATGTTTGCCGAGTTTGATAAAGCCTATGGAAAGATTGGCCTTCGACTGAATCTCACAAAAACAATGTTCAAGAGGAACAGATTGGTTTCGCATGCCTCATTCACGGTCAATGAAACGAATATCTCCGAATGCTCCAGTTATGTCTATATAGGTCAGGAAATCAACATGTTGAACGACTTAGCTCCAAAGCTGAGCAGAAGGAAACGAGCGGCTTGGGATCTTTCAAGAGCATCGAGGATGTAGTGAAGACGACAAAGAACACCCGACTCCGTGCCTACCTCTTCGATTCAACGACACTTCCTGCCCTAACGTATGCGTCAGAAACCTGGTCGCTGCGTAATCAGGATGAAAGATCACTCTGCGTTATTGAATGCGCAGTCGAAAGGACGATGTAGGAGTAACCCGTTTCACACAGATGGAATCCGAAGCTCCGACCTGCATCAACGAGCAAAAGTCAAAGATGCCGTTCTGTACGCCAAATACTCTAAGATAAGGTGGGCCGGAAACGTAATGCATATGAATGACAACCGATGGACAAGAGCCGTTATTGACTGGACTCTTCGGCATGTCAAACGTACTGCAGGAAGACCACCGACCCAATGGTCAAAGTGCTTTACGAAGTGCCTTGAAGAAGGGTATGATGCTCGACGAGTCCCTAGAGCAAGCAGAACCCACTGGGCTACTCTTGCACGCGACAGGGAAAAATGGAAGATTTACTGGGGCCCGCTCGAGTCACTTGACGACCAACGAGACTACGGATGATATAGGTGATCATCTCTAATGAAGGGATTGTCTCTACATTCCACAATGACAGAAAAATTATTACGGAAAACTCTTATCCTTCCCGTTCTATAACCCTGTCTCTGACCCCGAATCCGCACTAGTGAAAAACCGCCCCAGATTCTACCCTCTCAAGTTCAAATTGTAACAGAAAACACGAAGACAGCTATAGTTCCAGGAACCGATAATACCATCGGCTAATTCGTTAGAACTGGAAACCACAAATTAGATCTTCTTCAAAAACCCACGTGACACATCACTTTTAGACAGCAAATGTCTGAGACCAATGCACGACGTCGTGCACGGTGACTCTACGCAAGAAGAGTGATTCAAGAGATCTTCGACTGATCGAACCGTGCATACCAACGACATTGTATGAGGCACAACAGGTTGAACAAGCAGGATTTAGAAAAAAAATCTGCTGTATGCACCACATCCAAACCGTATTACAGGTCATAGAAATCTGCTGGGAGTACAACCTGCCCTTGTCGTAACCTTTATCGACTACAAGGAAGAGTTTGACAGCATCGAAACGACTGCAATCCTATCAGCGTTCGACGACCAAATAGTGGAACTGTCCTATACACAAACACTAGCAAACTTATTAGAACTTTGCACAAATATGCAGCTTTCATGGACCAGTCATCCTATCATTAGGAAAGCGAGTTGGACCTTGCGACCCAATATCACCAAAACTGTTTAACGGCGCACTACAGCGGATGAGGTCACTCGATTGGGATGAGAAGCGCATACGTATTTATTGAAAATTTCTACCAAATCTTCGTTTCATGGAGGACATAGTAACCTCTACGAAGATCACCAAGGAAGCAGAGACGATGCTCAGTGAACTCAACGAAGCGGAAAAAATAAGATTGAACTGCGCATAAATAGAATAAAGACAGTTTATGAAGAACTCATAGTGCGTTGGTGAACAAATTGAACCGGATGGCTCTCTAATTACAGATCCCACCTTGTACGTCTACCTTGGATATCCAATGAACTTGGAGAACAACATGTACGAGAAATTAGACAAAAAAGAATTCGAACAAGATGGGCAGCAGTCGGGCCTCTCATATCACCTATCGACCCAATAACAGACTCAAAGCTCCGCGCTCACCGTCTCGATTCAGCAGTCTTCCTAGTGCTCTATTATAGAGCAGGGACGTGTGCTGGTAATTCGTCCATGTCAAGAAATCTGCGTACCATCCACAGCGCTCGGACGATGTCATCCGAAATATAGCCGGCACTCACAACGTACAGCCAGACTATGCGGCCCAGTTATTCGATATTTATCCAGTCTTCAGGATCCAAACGAATATCCATCGATAGTGAAGCACTAGTGGGTTAGCCATACTATAAGAAAAGCGGATAACAGATGGACGAAAAGACCAGCAGACTGGGCTCGAAGAGAATGCAAACGTCCTCTTGGAATACCACGAAAACGATGGGTGGACGTGTTGTTGGCTAACGTCAACAATTTACACTCCCGGAGGGCAACGAATTCAGAAACACGGAATGGGCTTGCGGACGTTACCATGTTGGAAGCAGACCACCATCATGGAACACGACTGGGCGAGAGAGAAACAAGTGCAATTTATGCTGGAATCCGCGTGACCAGTGAAGACGGGCCAACTAGGTATCCGAGTGACTAAGTAATATAGGAGTTCAGAGTAAACCAATAAACTGGCACATATTAGTCTTTGCTCTCCTACAAACCGATTACGTACAATGTAAGCCGTGCTGCGACCTCAGCAATAGGTTTATAACCAGCATCTAATGAAGCCATTCCGGTGGTGCAAGTGCAAAACAAGGAGCGATTTCCAATGGATTTGTGGATGATAAAGAACTTGACAGTTTGTAATTTTCTTCGTATTTTTGTTGAGCAAACACGAGGTGTTATTATTCTTTGTTCACGATTAAGCTGACGTTTCGGCGGATTTCGCCTTCCTCAGAGCCTGGAAAGGTCAAGTTGATAGCAACTCACTCGGCCAGACGCCTCCATAACCAAACAAAGAAACTCCAAACCAAGATTTCAATCACTTTGAACACAGCTTTGCACACTCACCGCTTTCTACGAGGTTTCCACTAAGTATGTCACGTAGAGACCAACCGCGCAGAAATCACGTGGAAGTATAATGTGCCCTTCACATCAGAAAAGCAGTTTTATATACTGCCCTATATCACGCGTGATAATGAGGCATTCTTCCCTGCGGTTCATTTTCGGATTTCTGGAATCAATCCAGAGTGCCTCGAGAGTTTTTCGCGCCTGTGTTCTTGATTCGCGTGGGAGGATCGTGACACATACTTCGAAGTCGTCCCGTTGTCTCTGGGTCCCATGCGTGCCTAGCGGGGTATTTGGTCTATTTTTGCCGGTTAGGTGTTCTTTCATGGGGACACAGAGGGGGCTACCCGTTTCGCCAATGTATTCGTCACCACACGTCTTACAGGAGGTCAGATAAACTATACCCGAGCTCATGCAATCACCGTCTCTACCACTGGGGCAAATTATGCAATTTTGAGTTGCACATAGACGGTCATATAGGCGGTTACGAACTAGCTGGCGCTTAAGATTACTCGGTGGTATTTCAACTACGCTCACCGAATTCTCTAAGCCCGCCCTTCTTAAGCAGCGTTTTATAGCTGTACTTATATCATTTGAGATGAAGGGTAGGATAAACGGGACCCTTCTATCGCTAGAGTTGTTGTTTGGAGGCCTACGATTTCCTCTACACCTATCCTGAGCTACAGTTTCGTAGCCATTAGAAATGGCTATTTGCCGTGCCAAGTTCCGGGACTCCTCTCTCTGCTCTCTTCCCGTGCACACGTTGGTTGCTGTTCGAAACATGTTTCTTATAAGCGCCCTTTTCGTGTGAGAGGGGTGAGAGGAGAGGTAATGAACCAAGATGTTTTTACTACTTGGCTTTCGGTACCACTTTGTAATGTAACCATTTTCTGATAGGTGAATTTGTACGTTCAAAAATGGAAGCCATTTTTCTTTCGACTTTTCTCGGGTGAACTTGACACACTCTGACTGTGCGTTTAACAACTCGAAGCATTTGTCCATTTCCCCCTGTGTTGAGCAAAGGACAAAGCAGTCGTCTACACACCTACAGTAGAGTAGCGGCCCGAGATCAGTCACCGGTGCTTCCACCTTAGACATAAATGCAATGGCAAGGCTTGGAGCCAGTCGTTGTCCCATTGCCAACCCTCTTATTTGAGCGTAGTACTTTCCAGACCATCTGAAGATTGAGCAGCTCAAGCATTCCTTTAAGAGTGCCATCAGGTGCTCTATCCTGAAGCCATACATGTTTATTTCTCCTTCATGTTGTGTAAGGAGTTCGAATATGGCTTGCATTGCGGAGTCATTCGACACGTCTGTATAAAGGGCGGTAACGTCGAAGGACTCCATCACGCACGCGCTGTTGGGCTGCGCAGTACGTAGACGATCCAGAAACATCTGGGTATTCGTAAGATGGGCTGGAATGTGTTTCAACAACTGGTTAAATATTAGGGTTAATATAACTGGTTATATTATTACATTACACTTCCATGTGATTTCTGTGCGGTTGGTCTCTACGTGACATACTTAGTGGAAACCTCATAGGAAGCGGCTCTGAGGAAGGCGAAATCGGCCGAAACGTCAGCTTAATCGTGAACAAAGAATAGTAACACCTCGCGTTTGCTCAACAAAAATACGAAGAAAATTACTTGATCAATGCCGAGGTTAATAGAAAGTCGGTCGTGGCAGTTATTAGTTTGTATTGAAATCATGCAGAACAAGCCTGAATAATTGACGGTCTTTCTTTCATATACCATTTTCATCGCAACTACCATGAAGTCATTTCATTCGATTGAAGTGAATAATGTTGAATACAGCACCAAAGACGTTGATGAAACTGTTTTAATAAATGAAACAGAAATACAACTAGAATAATTCTAAGATATTTCCAAAATCCCGGACCGCAGGTGTTTATGGTGGGAATTGAACCTCATTATTACCCTTTCCGAGGGTTAACGTGTTCACCATCACACCATGCGTGGTTCCTTTGGCCTTCATCTTAGCCATGTTTTATTGACGCTATCAGCAATCACTCGCCAACGAGATTGGAAAGGGCGATGACGATGTCCGATCCCGTCGCAGACACCTGTGGCCCTGAGTTTTGCAAACATCTCAGCATCGTTATGTTTTTTTCCATCATACTCTGCCGTTAAAAATTATGGTAGGCAGCAAATAAAAAGTTAGCATTGTGGTTTCAGCTACAGCCTCACCTTAACTGCATTCAATGCCGATTTGGGCTCCCAAGATCAATCCTGTTGGCGGGTGATTACTGATGGCACTGATCGATAGAATTAGCTGAGCGACAGGTAAAACGAAGGACCAGCATGGTGTGGTGGTGGACGTGTTAGCCCCGGAAAGGGTAACAGTGCATTCGTTCCTCACCGCAGACACCTGCGGTGCGGAGTTTTGTAAATATCTCAGCACCATGGTGGTTGCATTGCACATCATACTCTGTCATGAAAAAAGAATAGGCAGTAAATAAAAGTGATTATCTTGGAATACTGGAAAACCTATTTGCAGCGTGATAGGTCTCTCTCTGCTCTGCGAACGACAAAGGATGTCTACGGTGAAGATCCACGAGAATCCCAGCATGACTATCGTGAGACTTCGTAAGAACAAAAATTGTGCTACTTAGCAAACTACTAGCTAAAAGAAACATATGCTGAAGTTCGAATGATGCTTGGCTAAAGCAGACCCTCTAAGCATCAAATAAAAAACAGCCGACTTTAGTAAATTTAGTGGATTCATTAACGACTGATGTAATTACGCAGAGTTCTGCCATCACCATCCCAACCACACCACATTTTATACTGTACCTGGACATGTCCGTAATCACATACTCCACATATTTTGTACGCCAAAGTGACTCTGTACTTCTTCCTAATGTGATAGTAAGGTCGGTGACTTTCCAGTGACTGTGAATACAGCAAGGATGATATATAGGTATAGAGGACGCATCCACGGATCTCGCTTATTTGAGGTTACAGGTGACAGGTGATAGAGGACGCATAGACATCTCGTGTCAAGTATATCTGTATATGTATGCAACTGCAAATGTTACTTTGTCTTTAAAGTTGTTAAGATTTCATTTTTCCGATAGGGCGACAACTCTTAGTGTGTTTAAGGTTCTTGACGCTGGTACAAAAGCTGTAAATATGAGCGCTGCATTGATACACACCATCGAGGCCTATCGGGTTCGTCCCGCTTCCTCAACCACTTCGCCGTTAGAATTACGAGCCTGGATGAAAAAGAGAAGGCGACTTGCTCTTTGTGTAACTCATAAAGTAGCAGTTCCATCTTCCTAGGCTGGGAAAATACGTATCTTGTTGGAAAGGTCTAGATTCCAGTAGTTTCTGTTCTGATCTTCACTATGATATGGGATATTTTTGTTAAAAGCTATTAGGGCCAAGTTTTTAGGCGCTTGAAAAAAATCATCATTTTCAGCATCGTACAGCCTGAAGTTAACTCATCCGCTCTACTGTTTTAATGTCGTAGTGATCTATCTTTATTGAGTTATTGATCTATCTTCTAATCAGTAACTTTCCTTGTATGATGGGATACGTTCGTAAAAAGTTGTAAGGACCAGGTTTTAGGACCTTGAAAAGTATCATCATCGCAGAGGCTGAAGTTAACTCGTCTGTTCTACTATGTCAATATTGTAGTAATCCATCTTTACTGTTTTCGCTGATTTCCTAACTTTCTCAGTCTTTCCATCATTATCATTTTGTCCGTTTACTGCTATTCTCATACAAAAATTTATTTCAGGCCCTCAAGACCATTGGAAGTCTTTGTGCTTTTCTCTTTGAGTATTTTCGGCTATTCCCTTCGTAGCTTTCATCTCAGACAATGGGAGAGTTTGTTGAAGAAAGCCTTGAAGGTCTTCTATCGGTATTTGAACAGATTAGTGAGCTTCAACTCTTTACCAATGAGGAGCTGAACACATTCATCAAACGATGTCGTCAGTTTGAGTACCGGTTGAATAAGAAAGTGGGTTATTTCCACGCATACACACTTCTTTATGTTTAATATTGCAAACGTACTTGGCTTCAGCAAAAGAGTCCACGTGACTTCAATTTGTATGCAGAGTATCTCTGTGATTTTCTGAATCTGTTGAAGCTTCGGAGAACAAGGTTGCAGTGTTGGGACAGAAAGGAATTTATTGACCAACCAATGCGCAAGAAAGTTTCCAGCTTATACAGGAGGGCGGCTGATCGGTTTCAGGCAAGTAATGATCGAAAAAATTTTAATGTGGCTCAAAGATTTCATATAAGTTGTTGTCTTATTTCTTCATTACTATGCGGCCGACGTCTGGGCGGATTTCACCTTCCTCAGAGCCTGGAAAGGTCAATTTGACTGACATTTTAACTGACTAACTGCAGTCAACTTGACCTTTCCAGGCTCTGAAGGAGACAAAATCCATCCGAACGTCAGCTTTCTAATGATAAGGAAATAAAACGAAACCTCGTATTTGCTCAAGAATAGTATAAAGAATTGTTCGACCAGTTTCATGCAGAGTCATCAGTTTAGATCTCCTTCCTCAGTTCCTCAAAATCTACTTTGTTTGGCGATCTGCTAGAGTTCAGTTATTACATTGTTTACATTGTTTAGGGTGATTGGCATCAATGGGAAAGGCTCATAAACTTCTTGAAAGAGAATAAAATGCGTCGTGAGTTGGCTGTAGCTTATACACGAGCTCTACAGGTGGTTTATTTTATGATCCTTTGTTAATTGCTGTGATAAGGGTGGGAGCAGGTTTTGGTTAGGCTAACCTCGGGGTTTCAGAGAACCACAATAGCTAAACCAACAAAGCTCTGAAAAAATGGAAATTATGCTGAGACTCGCACAACCAGCGAGGATGGGCCATCCAAGTATCCAAGATAAGGGAGTACTTTAACGCGTCATGACTTTCTACCACCTGTACTTCTTAACCTTTCCCTATATTTACGTAATACACATAACTCACAAATGAACAACAACTTATGGAGAACTTTTTCATTATTGTACTCAAAATCGCAATGTTAACTTTGTTTATTTTCTACCTATTATTATTTCTCACGATCGGGTATGATGTGAAATACAATCACAATGATGCTGAGATGTTTGCGAAACTTGGACCCTGGCCAGATCGAAACCACGATTATCCTTTCCGGGGGTTCGCGAGTTACGTATGGCACCACTGAGGCCTTTCTATACCTTTCTCTTAGCTGGTTTTCTATCTAAGCCTCCGAATATCGTAGTCGCAGTTCGATCTGGCTAGAGGCCCAAATTTTGCGGATATCTCAGCATCATAGTGGTTATCTTTTTCTACTGCTCATCTTTTGCTTCTATATTAGGTATTCGTAAGAAACGAAACCTTACGACGAGATTTTGCTCTCTGGCAGTTTTTCGAGGCCGCAAGTCCACAGAATGCTCGCACTCAGATTTTAGCAGCTCTTCGCTTGTTTCCCGAATCAGCAACACTCTATGTGGCGTTTTTCACTATCGAAATTCATTTTGTTGAGAAGTGGGCTTTTTTTTTTACTAGACCAAGGTTATATGTATATATATTGTTCAGGATGAGTGTCTTGCATGTATCAATCCTTTCACTCTCAATGTTTAGGGTTCTGAAGAGACGAAGATTCATCACAGAAGAAAGAGGCAGGCGAAGAAGTGAAGTAGAAGAGGATTACTCTGAACGTTGGCTACTACCCCAGTTAAGAAGAATATACGTCCTTTCTTTGATATGTTTATATTCTTAAGGCGTCTACGACGGAGAAGTAGATGACAATATTATGAATTTGAATGTAGCAAAGGCCGTAGTAGAACAAGGATTGTCGTCAGTTAAAACTCACGATGCTGCAGGTTTGTTGGCCCCTACACTTTTTTGCTCAGTTCTTTGTCTTTCTCTATTCTTTTCTGTATGGGTAGTTTTCATAACCTTCTTCTGAAAATTCGGTTAATGTAGTTCGAAATCCTCACAACAGGTACCCGAATCTAGATTATACATCTAGGTGAGGCCATATTGTCATTGTATCATCTCCATTTTTGTCCCCTTAGCGCTATGCTTTTGATTCCCTTGGAAGCATTTTCGATATTTATCTTACTTTCGCTGACCTTTTTAAGGTCACCTCCTTTTAACAGGGTTAACATTCTGTTCGATTCTTACACGGTTTTATGTTACTTTAGGTATGCTCATGGAAATGTGGCAAGAATGCAACAAAATTGAACTCATACCTAACATTGAAGACATCCGGTCGTTTATCGTAGAAGAGCTTAAGAAATTTGATAACGAGCACACTCGCTTATTTGAGATTGAACTCGCCTGCAACAGTGGAGTGGTTTGTTTTTGAACAGTACGGCCACTTTTTCATTATATGACTGATTTCTAGGACTTCCCACGTATTGGTAAGCAGAATCTTTCGTACCCCTGTTATTGTCGTATACCATTTAAACTTCTAGTTGTTGCAGTCCAAATTTGATATGTTCGATGAAGCGTTGAAGACGACCTCTACTGAAAAGATGCACCGCCTTTACTTACGGTGGCTTAGTGAATTACCTGAAGGTATGTGAACAACAGGCAGTTATTCATTTCGAGCATGTACTTCTTTTTTGGCGCATGTAGCGCAGTGGTCGGAGGCTCCTTGAACTAGGCGTAGGATCGATGCCTGCGTCTCTGTTCACCAAACTCTCTGTCCATCCGGGGTCGGCAGATTGGTACCATACTTTTCCGGGAGGATAGCAGCACTGGTTCGATACATCGGTAAGTCACCGCGAGTCATTCTAAAGGCCACATATGAATTCAATCACCTCCAACGATGCTCGATGAAGTCGAATGCATGGCGCGTCTCTTAGGGATTGATCGACGCCGAAAGCTTTACCATTTTTTTATCGTTTTACTATATTTTATTATACCTCGTGGTTGTTGTATGTACCCAGATAGGTTAACCAAACCTTTTTCACATCATTTTCATTTAGATGCATTTGTCAAATTCAAAATCCGTGCTTTACTCCGTGATTTGTGCGATAATGGATGGATGAAAGAAAAAGATTGGCTTAATCTCGAGAAGGAAATTGAGACTGTTAAGGAAGAGTTTGGAGTGGAATTCATCAAAAATTGCCTCGAGGTTATTAGAGCTAACTTTCTAAGTGTAATTTTTCATTTTTACTTGCAGCATTAGGGTAATTAAAACGATCTTTTGATTGCATAAGGAGTAGATATTAAGTGCTTTATCTGGTTCATTGATTGGACAGGTAGATTCAGCGTCTGTGTAGAAGCTGTACACTATTGTATTTCTCTTTAAGAGAAGGCCACAATCTGCTGTAATATGGAACGTTTACCTGGAAAACTGCGTGGATGAGGGAATCATTTCTCCGGATGAGTTCAGGGAAACATGTAATCACGCTCTTGATAAGGTTAGTTCTACTTAGTTCAGTTTTTATGGTCTTACCTCGTATGAGAACTGTACATGTGCGCCTCGTTCACAGGTGGATCCAAACGACAGCTTTCCAATTTGGCAACGGGCCATCGAGTATAGCATTGTCCACGACCCAGCTGGCACCGAGAAGGTAGTTGTATTTCTAAAAACTTTCTTTTCTTTCTCAGAATTGTCCATCATCGTCAAGTGGCCATCCAGCTGTTATTCTGTTACGGTGTGTTTTCCTATAGCTAGGTGACTGTAGCCTAAGCCAAGCTAAAGTGGTTAGGTTTGCGTTTTGACCATATAAACTGTTCAATCAGTTATATTGATCTGTTGTTCATTTATATTGTGGATGCGCTCCATAAAATATCTGTAGGATCAATATTTCCATATTCCGTAAACGTCTTCCCCATTTAAAGATTTTTGTTGTTTCAGATTTTTAGGGACGCTCTGATAAACACGAACTCCATTGTAAGGTCAAAGATAAAGATACTATTTCTCGAATATTTGGATGAATTGTTCAAGCAGTCAAAAATCACAGCTGATAAGATGCGAGAGAAAGTGATGGAACTTGTGAGTAACAAACCAAACAGGTATTCAAAATGCTAGTATTTCTGTTCTAAATGAAATTGTAGTATAAATCGCAATGTAGTCACTTTTTATTCACTGTCTGTTCTTTCCTCTTGGCAGGATATGATGCGAAATACAACCACAATGGTGCTAAGATATTTGCAAAACTCCCAACCGTAAGTGTCTGCTGCGGCGGGGATCGAACCTCGTTATTACCCTTTCCAAGGGCTAACGCGTTCACCTCTCCACCATGTGTGTCCTTCGTCTCGCCTTTCTCTTAGCCGTGTTGTATAGGCGCTATCAGCAATCTTCGGTCAACGAGATTGATCTACGGGGAACAAATCGGCATTGAACTGAGTTAGGTTGAAGCTGTAGTATAAATTACAATGTAAGAGAAAGGATAATAACGAGGTTCGATCTCCGCCGCAGACGCCTACGTTCAGGAGTTTTACAAATATCTCAGCATCATTTTAGTTTAAACTGTAGTGTTGGAGAAAGGTCCCAATACACTAAGGAATGGGATCGTATTCTTCGATACAGTTTGGTGCTTTCTCTGTGGAACACCTCTATCAAAAATTGTTTCAGTGCAGAATTCTACTGTGCTGTTCATCTGAAGGAATTGAATCGACCGCATCCTGACCATAAGTTTGCTGGTTTTGTCATCAAATCGGCTGTGAACGAAGAAGGTTGTGCTTCTGTCGAGGCAGTAATACTCTACGCAAAGTGGGCCTTGAGATATGAGCCAACGAAATTCCATGTTGTTCATCAGGTACTATGTTTTAGATTCTATGTATGCTATTTTTCCATAGGAATTGATTACTTAAGGTAATACAGCTTATTTTGTAAGCCCCACCATAATTTGTTAGTACACATTCAATCCACAATAAATATAACTGGCCACTTTTGTCCTTTCATTTCTATTTAGAGTTATTTTTTTTTATGAAAACGTCTTACAAAGTTCAAAATGCAAATGTCTTAAAGTGCTTTTGGACAGTTATATGGACGAACTTCAGACCATAGTTTTCAAAATTGAAGCTCTGTTTGTTATGAATATTCATGTTTAGATAGGACTAAAGCTGTTCGAAGGTGCATTTCTTGACGAATTTATGATCCGGTGGACTCAGCTTTTGCAGAGCGTAGCGAAAGATGTTCGTGAGGTATGTGCCAGCGTGTTCCTACAGCGTTTTTGAAAACCATCTTTCTAAGCTATTCTGTTCATAAGCTTAGCCATTATACACTAACCTAAATTGCCCTTTGTATACATATATTTACTTGGATATTTGGATGGCCCGTCTTCACTGGTTATGCGGGCCCCAGCATAACTTCCATTTTTTTCCGAGTTTTGCTGGTTTAGCTGTTGTGGTTCCCTGGAGTTCCGAGGTCAACCTAGTCAAAATCTGCTCCAGGTCATCACCACCGCAACCACACGCCGGCCTTGTGGATCAGATGGAGATTTGCCACCATACAACTACCTTGGTACCAGGACGGTGGTAACTCCTGGTATTGGTTTACTTTGGCTAGGCTTCCTGATGGAACCGCTGGACTCCTCAGCTTGGGAGGCACTGCTGAGGAGATGAATCCTTCTGTTGTACATAACAAGCAGACACCCAGGAGCACCTCCCAGCAACGATGAGGCGATAAAACGTTGGGAGAACTCCTAAAGCTAAAGGATGAAGCTCTCGGCGTTGACTACTCCCTAGAGATGCGCCATGCATTCGACTTCATTGAGTATCGTTGAGGGTACTGAATGCATATCTGACCTTTACAATGACTCACGGTGGCCTACCGATGTATTGGGCCAGTGCTTCTATCCTCTCAGACACGTCTGGTACCAATTTGCTGACCCCGGAGCGATGGAAGTGTTGGTGGGACATGGGCGCGGAGACCGATTCCACGTGTGTGTTGCAGGGCGCCCCCGACCACTGCGCCACACGCGCCATTAGGGAGGACTCACATATGTAAATATATTATTTATGTACGTATATACTTATATACGTATTGCGTATATATTTTCTTTACTAGGATCAAAGCGGCAGCATGTGTGAAAATGCCGATAAGGTAGTAGAAGGAGATGCTGAAGGCGAGACGGGCGAAACGAAAGTACTAAGGAAAAGGCCACGAAGGAGTTAGAAAGCAACTTCCGATTGCATACTGTACTTATTTCAGTCCTAAGTTTTCCATTTCTCAAAATCCTTCTTCCACTATCATTTTCAAGTGCTTGTGAAGAATCAAAGGTCTTTAAATTCAAAAGAGAACGTAAACGACGAAATTCGAGTCTTCGCAAACTTAGACATGTAGACTAGTGATGTGTACAAAAAGAAATTTCTTTTGTAGAACCAATAGAAAATATTGTGTTGATTAAGAATGTTATCTGTTTCATCAACATTGTGAAGTTGATTACGTATTGTTATTCGTTCTGTTGATTGTGATATATATTTGTTATTTCATCGACTCATTTTCAATTTAATGCATAAAATGGTGATTTATTTTAATCTTTATGGACCTGAGAACTTCTAATAACTTTGTTAACCAAAATGGAAGCCCACTGTATTCATCAAAGCCAATGTAACTCGATGGTAGCGGAAGGGGAGGAGGGGGAAAGGAGGGGAGGGGGTGGGGCATGCACTGCTATTCGTTGTTAGATTCTTTTACCTTTATTCAAGAGAAATATTCTCTGCTAACTGTGACAATATAGGCTTTTTGATAGATTTCAAGTGCGGACCAAAAAAAACGCAAAGTTCTACGAATGGAAGCTTTGCAAAGAACAAGATGGGAATGCAATCTCTGCGTTAAGTTTTATCTCCTAGGGTTCTGAAAAAGTTTCGCTGGCTAGATTGCATGTTAATCTGACTTTTCCAGGCTCTCAAGAAGGCGAAAGTGCCGAGACGTCAGCAACTGTAGGTGCTTAAATGCTGTAGTGTAGCTTGCTTATGAAGACAACTGACTTAGAACTGATCAGTGCCGAAGTTAAAAGAGCCCAGAGAGGTCTTACATAGGAGAGTTGAATGAAGCGACATGAGCACTACGACATGCAATAGGTGGGCTCTCTTGCATACCAGAACAGTAGTACCAGCCACCATTCTCTTCATGCTGCATGTCACACGAAATTTCCAACTCCCATACGCCATGAACAATAGGACTACCATATGGTAATATTGAATGTACGTAGAACGCCTAATTTTCCACCTGCGGCCGCGAAGGGGCGACGCCTAAATTCTTCCGCGCGCGTTGCGAATTGGTATCGATTCATGGCGACCACTCCGCCCCTCATGATACCACTCTGTGCCCTGTCGCTGGTTCCACAATTCGCTGTTTCTACGTAGGTTCTTAGTAGTAGTTACTTCTTTTTTAACGTTCTACGTGTCCTCTGTCTCCTTTCGTGCTGTTTCCTGTTTTTAGAAGTTTTCGTGCTCTTGTTTGTGAGTAAAGAAGTTGGTTATGCCCAGAAATTTCATACTGAAAACTGAATAAACTTTCAGTTCAGTTTTTTTATAAACTAAAAACGTTAAAAAAACACAAAAAAGTTCTTAAACTGGACGTTTTATAGCCTTCAGTTCTATAAACTTTTATACTGAATTTAACTATATCTCGTCATAATGATTGTATTCTATAGGTTTGATTTATGGCGACGGAAGACGATTCTAACTTCGTTTTCGATCGACTGCTCGTTGAGAGTGATCAAGACGAAGGTGAAGACTTCGAAGACAATGAGGAAGCTTCTGCGATACCTTTGGAAGAGTCTGGAGAGAGTGAGTCGGACAGTGAGGAAAAAGATGATGATAAAGATGCCAGCGGTGAGTGGTCAAGTAATGTGGCACCTCATGAACGATGGACTTTCGATGATAGTCAATCCGGAGTGGATGAACTGCTTCTGCTCGGATGCTCTGAACCGATACATTTTTACGAATTATTTATGACTGACATTTGGGATCTAGTCGTGAAGGAAACGAATAGATATGGGGAAAGTAAAGACAAGTCATGGGAAGCAACAACTGTTGAAGAGATGAAAAAATTCATCGGTCTATGCCTTCAGATGGGAGTCGTTAGATTGCCACGCCTGAGGGATTATTGGAGTCACAGTCCGGCCTATGGATGCAACCCTATTGGATCGAAAGTAATGGCAAGGGAACGATTTGAAAAGCTGTTAAATCACATCCATTTAGCTGACAACACAAGCTATGATGGACGGGACAAGTTGTACAAGGTCAGTTCACTTATCGAACTCGTCAACAGAAATTTTAAGGGAGTATGTAGGCCGGGAAAAAACGTCTGTATTGATGAATGCTTCATGCCTTTTAGAGGAAGAGCATCTTTCCGCCAGTACGTGCCACATAGGAAGTACAAATATGGGGTAAGATTATTCAAACTATGCAGCAAAGGCGGATACACATGCAGGATCATGGTGTGTGCCGGTAAAAACCCCTCCAAAACTGATGGTGTGCCTGATTCAGCCGTGATAAAGCTCATGGATGATTTGTTGGATGAAGGAAGACACCTTTACACAGATAACTCTTACACAGGTGTCTCCTTAGCTGAGAGCTTACTGCAGAGAAAGACCCATTTAATTGGCACATGTGAGAAGAGGAGGAAAGGACTGCCAAGTCAAGTCATTCAGCAGAGGTTAAAGAGGGGACAGTTGACTGCCCAGCAGAATGGAAACGGTGTAATGGTGCTCAAATGGAGAAATAAAATCGACATTATTATGTTGTCTACGCTGCATGATGCGACTCTTGTCCCCAATTCGTCGAGGCCACAAGTCATCGATTGCTATAACCAGGGAAAACTGTCGATCATAAGTGACCAGTCGGCATCCTACTCTCCATATGTGAGGAGAACTAGCAAGTGGTACGTAAGTTTTCCTTCTCCATGACTTAAGTACATACTTCTAGAACTTTTCTTTTCCACGGTCTAGGTACATCCGGGTGTTCTTCAACCTTGTCACGCAGACCTGTTTGATGAACGCATGGAGGATCTATTCGGAAACTGTCCAGCGAGTTCCGATCAATGAATTTAAGATTCAAGTATACTTACGGTTGATCCCTTTAGATGATTCTCGTGACACTATACCTTCACTATCCATTAACCATTTCCTGGAAGAGACTCCAAAGAAGTGGAGACGTTGTGTTGGTTGTTATAGGAAGTTAGCAAGGTCTCATGACTCTGTATCTGCTAGTGTACGGACCAAACAAGTTACCACGAAGTGCAAACAATGCAACAAATATTTCTGCTTGAATTGTTTTAATGTTATCCACCAAAAGAGTAAACTATAGAGGTTGTAGATTGTAATGGTTATAAGTTGTATGTGAACAGTTTAATTTGTATAGATTACAGATCTTAATGGTCTTAAATACTATGTGGAAGGTGCTAACTCTAAAGATTTCCTACCGTTAAATAAATCTTCCACTCATTCGCAACGCTCCGGAATGTTGTGGACACCAGCAAGATTCTCTTTGGTAAGAGAAATCTTGGTACCTTCTTCGCTAACAACAGTATTGCTATGAGCAGGACGAATTACTTGGATACTTGGGTGCCCCGTCTTCACTCGTTGTGGGAGCTCCAGCACAATCTCCACTTTGTCCAAGTTTTGCTTATTTGCTATTGTGGAGTTCCGAGGTCAGCCCAGCCAAAAAAAATGATACTGAAAAAAGATAAACCAAAAAAGAAAGAAAAGGTAGGACAAAAAAGGCATGATAAAAGACACTGTTAATATAGGTGGTATTGATCATATTCGCAAGAGTTGAATGACTTAAGCTATACAACTACTATAATACTGAAATATTTGCAAAACTCTGGACCGCAGGTGTATGCGGTGGGGAACGAACGCGTTATTGTCCTTTCCGGGGAGTAACGCGTTCACCACCGNTAAGCTATACAACTACTATAATACTGAAATATTTGCAAAACTCTGGACCGCAGGTGTATGCGGTGGGGAACGAACGCGTTATTGTCCTTTCCGGGGAGTAACGCGTTCACCACCACACCATGCGCGTCCTTCGTTTCGTCTGTCTCTCAGCTAGTTCTATCGATCTTTTGCCATCAGCAATCACCCGTCAACGGGATTGATCTGAGGAGCACACATCAGTAAATAAAGAGGTTAAGATTGTGATTATAACTATAGCCTCAGCTCAACTGGGTTCAATGCCGATCTGGACTCCCCAAATCAATCCCCGTGACGGGTGATTGCTGGTGGCAAGAGATCGATAGAACTAACTGAGCGATAGGAGAAACGAAGGACCCGCATGGTGTGGTGGTGAACGCGTTACTCCCCGGAAAGGATAATAGCGCGTTCGTTCCCCACCGCAGACACCTGTGGTCCGGAGTTTTGCAAATATCTCAGCATTATAGTAGTTATATTTCGCAAAACACTCTGCCGTTAAAAAGAATAGGCAGTAAATAAAAAGGTGAAGATTAAGCTATACAGTTTTACATCATCTCCACCTTCTTCACCTTTGCTGATTATCCTTTGTTAAAAACCTCGGCATCAAGAGATGATTAGTCCTATCGACTAATATCATCATGTACAATTGTATAATTTTTTGCGAAGAATCGATATTCAAATTTGTTATCGCATATTTCCTTGCGTATGTAAGGGCACGTGTAGCACAGCGATCGGAGGAGTCCTGCACCACACGTAGAATCGATCGCTGCGACCATGGCACCCCAAAGCTTTCATCTCTTCGAGGTTGGCAAATTGTTACCAGATTTCTCTGTGAGGATATATCAGCACAGGCTCGACACATCGGTAGGTCACAGCGAGTAATTATAAAGCCCAGATATGCATTCAATCACCTCCTAACGATGCTTAATGAAGTCGAATGCATGGCGCATCTCTAAGGGATTGATCGACGCCGAGAGCTATAGACCTTAATACTTCCATGCTGTCGTGGTAAACATTATTGGAGTGAGGAAACTGGATGGAGATTTTCAAAAAAGAAAATCCGAAAGGGGCTGTAGAAAATTCAGCTATGCTACTCTAATATATCTTTGTTTCAAAGAGAATTCCATTTCACCGAGAAAATATCATCGCTACTGAGCCATTGTGGTGGCACGTTCCACCCAAAGAATGATCAGATTCGATTTAGGTAAAGGACGACCTCCATTTGATAGATTACCTGGTAGGGTCGATCACT